CTCACTGCAACCTCCGCCTCCTGGGTTCAAGCGATTCTCGTGCCTCAGTCTCCTGAGTAGCTGGGATTACAGGCGCCCGCCACCACATCCAGCTAATTTTTGTATTTTTAGTGGAGACGACATTTCACCATGTTGGCCAATCTAGTCTTGAACTCTTGACCTCAGGTGATCCGCCTGCCTCGGCCTCTCAAAGTGCTGGGATTACAGGGGTGAGCCACTGCACCCGGTCCCCAAGAGCTAGATTTTTAAAGAACAAGGACTAGCTTGGTAACGAGGTTTGTCTGATGTCATCTGCTGGGCTATTTATAGGCAGGGCCTTCTGCCTCTCACCGAGCTGATCTCTGGCCATCTCTTCCCCAGGACTCCAGCCTCTAACTCACCATGATTTCTAAAGAGCATATTGCTCTTTCACAGGAGGAGACATTAACTACCACATTGGCCCGAACAGAAAATGACCTCAAATTTCAGGCAGTCTTTCTCTTCAAAGTGGAGAACATTTTTTAAATTACAAAAATGTAATCCATCATATGAAAACAGTCTGTCCCTTGACCCTTGAGGAATGAGACCAGTCCCTGCCTCCCTCAGCTTTTTGTTGCTGAAGCTGTGGTTGGAGAACTATAATTAAAATTCAGTTGTTCTCTTAGCAACCCCCTCACTGACAGCTCCTTTACAGCTTGCGTTGTGACTTACCTACCAGTCCAAGATTCAGGGATTTGAGATCCTGACCATCCTTCTATCCAAAATGACTAACAATCTTATTTGGAACAATAGGGTAGTTCCAGCTATCTGTTCATTCTGATTTCTCCCCCACTGGAAAAATTTTCTTGAAAAAATAGCTATTGGCTGGGCACAGTGACTCACGCCTGTAATCCCAGCACTTTGGGAGGCCGAGACGGGTGGATCACTTGAGGTCAGGAGTTTGAGACCACCCTGGCCAACATGGTGAAACCCTGTCTCTACTAAAAATATAAAAATTAACCAGGCATGGTGGCAGGCACCTGTAATCCCAGCTACATGGGAGGCTGAGGCAGGAGAATCACCTAAACCTGGGAGGCGAAGGTTCCAGTGAGCCGAAATCGTGCCACTGCACTCCAGCCTAGGTGAGAGAGCAAGACTCTGTCTCAAAAAAAAAAAAAAAAAAAAAAATCAGAGACCCTGATTCAAAACATTTCTTCTAGTAAAGAGGCAGAGAAGCCAAGGCCAGACACGTGAAGACCCCCCAAACAGTCTCATGTCTTTGCTCAACTACGAAGTGACCAAGACAGGGCCCTGAAATAAGCCACTTAGTGGCAAAAGGCTACATGAGAGAGTTAGTGAAGAAGTAATGCATCAAGAATGTGATTTTTATCTCCCTCAAGAGTCTCTTCCAGCTGGCCCTGGGGAGAAGCAAGTGATTGAAATTTCTTGGACACAGTTGTATAGTTGGAGCTACACATCTCTTCTAAGATTCTACAGCAAAACAGAGCCAAGTCCTTGGCAGGGAGGCAGCATGTGGCAGTGAAAAATGCATGGGTTCAAGAGCCAGACCAGCACAAACCACGCTTTGCAGTGTGAAAAAGCAGGGCAATTTTAGGGAAGATAATCTCTCTGAACCTCCAAGGGAGAGGACAGTCATTCCCACCACAGGGGATCAAGTGAGAAATCGAAAGGCCTGGGCACAAAGCATGGCATATAGTAGGCATGCAATAAATATTGCTTCTCTTACCTCCCCTTTCCTCCGGAAATTTCCATCCATCTGTGCAGGCTCGTAGAGAAGCGATTGCGTCCCAGTTCTATCACTGACTAGCTGTGGAACTTTGGGCTAGTTATTTTTCTAAATCTCTGCATTTTCCTCTGTAAAGTGGAAATAATGATAATACCTCCCATCCAAGATTGTTGTGAAAAGTGCATTTTATTTTTTACCTCTAAATACCAAAAAGAGTCCATTTTAAATATATCAAGGGCCTTAGCAAATAAAAGTGGCCCAAACCTCTGTCAGCCTTTGAGAGGCCTTGGTGGTAGCCCTTATGGATATACTAGGAAAGAAGTGATTGAAATTCAATGACAGTTACAGCACAATAAGAAGAAAAAAATAAGGCCGGGTGCGATGGCTCACAACTGTAATCCCAGCACTTTGGGAGGCCAAGGCGGGTGGATCACTTGAGGCCAGGAGTTCAAGACCAGTCTGGCCAACATGACAAAAACCCCGTCTCTACTAAAAAATGCAAAAATTAGCCAGGCAAAAAATGCAAAAATACAGCCAGGTGGTGCATGCCTGTAATTCCAGCTATTTGGGAGGCTGAGGCATGAGAATCACTTGAACCTGGGAGGCAGAAGTTGCAGTGAGCTGAGATTGTGCCACTGCACTCCAGCCGGGGCTGCAGAGCGAGAAACTGTCTCAGAAGAAGAAGAAAATCACCCTAAGGGAGCTTAGCCAACTAACCAAGAGTCTATGTTGAAGAGTCCCACTGCCTTTGTTCAAATACTACTTGAGTAGCTATCTGATTTGGGGGAGATTACTTATCTTCTCTGTATCATGGTTTCTGCAGCCATAAAATGAGGATAATAATAAGAATGTACTTTATAGAGTTGCTGTGAAATACCTAGCTCATCGCAATTGCTCTGTTAATATAATTGTTGTCATCAACATCATCACCACCACTATCATCAAGAATGAAATGCCTTTTGGCCAGGCGCGGTGGCACCTATAATCCCAGCACTTTGGGAGGCCGAGTGGGGGCGGATTGCCTGGGCTCAAGAGTTCGAGACCAGCATGGGCAACATGGTGAAAGCCCTGTCTCTATTAAAAATACAAAAAAAAAAGTAGCCTGGCATGGTGGTGCGTGCCTGTAATCCCAGCTTCTCAGGAGGCTGAGGCACGAGAATCACTTGAACCTGGAAGGCAGAAGGTGCAGTGAGCTGAGATCACGCCACTGCACTCCAGCCTGGGTGACAGAGCAAGACTGTCTCAAAACAAAACAAAGCAAAACAAAAAAAAAAGACATGCTTTTTATTTTCTGTCTTGAGACAATGCCATCAGTTATCCAGCTGGCACAGTGAGGCCACCCCTCGGTTTATCCAGTGCTTCTGGGGCCTGTCTGTTGGAAGCTCAATGGAGAGGACGTAGTTGGTAGAGTGACCTGTGGTGGAGAGGGTTCCTCTGCGGGCACTTGTTTTGTAGACTGGACACACATACACGTCCTGATGCAGAAACATTGTACTCTCCCCAGGTTTCAGCCAAATGATGGGCAGTGGGTCATAGAGGATTTTGGGGAGAGATTCCCCAATCTGCATCGTTCTCCTGTCCCAACGGGCACCTTCTAAGAAGAGCCCTTTGATGTAGGCCCCATCTTCAGGGTTATCCTCCATCACTGTTTCTTGTGTGGTTACCTGGAAGAATAAAAAGCTATGAGTTCCATTGCCTGCCATTTTCCTACATGAGCAGCTTTAAGAGCCTGGAATTTTCTGATACTCAAAGTGCAACCTGGCTGCAATATCTACCTCTCCCAGGATCCAGGGACAATGGGACTTCTGTGATAATATTCCTGCCCACCATACATGGGCCAGGCCTGACTCCTAGTCAGTATGTTCCCTTCCCAATGGTGGGCTAGAGAATGCACTCAAGTAGGAGTCACATTACTCTAACACATTACCTCTAACTAGCTTAGTGACTTTGCATAATCCCTTCCCTTTCTGGATCTGGATTTATAAAGTGAGGGGTTGGGGTTAGATTCAGATTCAGAGACAGACTGGGTAAACAGTTCTGGAGATGAGTGTGGGGAGAATAAAGCCTTGATTTCTAGTTTCTGTGGTATAAAGACTTCCAG